TATACATCAGGAGGTTTTCATTAACCGACTTCATTATCATGGTTACCTTCAATCATCTTTTAACTATTCCTTTATACCGATATAACATCATTTTTCCTTTTAACCATCCTACAATTAGTATTTGTAATCGCAAAGCTTGAAACAGGGTTTTATTCGAATATTTCTCAATATTGTTGCAAATATCCACTTTTAAACTTGCATCTTCTTTTTTGTAACTACACACTAATACTTGTTTTCACAAGATTCATAGCAAGATTCCTCTTGAATATTTCCTTGTAATTACACACCTTAAATATATGTTTCACAACATGCAACCACATAACCGTGGTTTAGCCTTTAAGTTCCTTAGCAACTTCAAAATACCACATTACACAATGTGCGTATAAAATGTTTCTAAGTAATATCAATTATCATTCTTGCCACATATAGTTTGGTATATCCTTTTTCAAAACTTTGGTGCAATTTCCAAACGCTTAATTACTTTTTTGTCCATTATCCTTCCAAGCACATTCATTCCAAAAATGTGCACTTATTCTCCAAGATATTCGAATGTATACTCATCTATTCATGCCTCAATTGATATTCTTAGGTTTCTAGTATATCATATAATTGGTCTTGTCTGGTTACTAACCTTTTCCTTTCAACCATGTCAAGATATGGTTTACAATTCCTCATAACGTTGCTTTATATTAGCTAATTTGCTATACCAACCTTGTAATCCTTCATTCACAATTTTACCATTTGACATTGGCATTACTTTATCAATATCTCATACATTCTTTTAACTTTTCACTCTTTCTTTTCTTGGCCTTTTAACAAAACTTAATCTCTTGTCTCCTTTATTCTTTAGGATGTGACTTTAATTAACATGATGTTCATCTTAACACTTCACATTATAACTTATCTCATTGTAGTCATCTCAAGAACTTTCAATTTCTCTTTTGCTTACATGTCAATATATGGCAATAAGGAACTTTTTCATTCATTCACCTAAACATTCTACAAAATGTTTAAAACTCCAATTAAGAAATCCCAACCTCAAAGTCAATAGCCATAATTTGGCTTGCAAATTCATCATAATGCCCCATTATTAAGCCAATTACTCTTTATGTTTGTCAAAAATCTGCTAAAAACAAATATCCTCAATGCTATAGCGCTGCAGATGTTGTTTTCAGCGTAGCAGCGATAGGGAGCTAGTGTTCCGACGCTGTGCTTGTTGGTAGTAAAGCAGCTCTTTCCCAGCTTTGCGGCACTGTGGCTACTGGAAAATCTCCTCATCCAGCTTTCTTACCACCCCGTCCACCATATGTACTTGACCAAGTCATTAGTTTCAAACTTATACTAGCTTTAACTCCTATCATCATTTAGTAAGTCCCACCTTAGGACATTCTTTTCTATGTTATGCTATAAACTTACAATGTACAAACACCACTTGCATACTTATTCATCATCTAAAGTATCCCACATTTCTTGTTATTTATAACTAATTGTCTCTCTTGCATTGTATCTCACCAATTCACAAACTTTCAACTTAAATTGCCATGAAAATGGTCCACCTTTTTCAACACCTTATACTCTCATTTACTATTAATTCAAGAATTCATCTCCCCCAATTTCCATAATTACTCCCAATAG